TGTTATTATTGCTTTTCTCTGGCACTCCTTATTACTCATTCCCATATTATCGGCATTTCTATGCTTGGCCGGCTTAGCTGATTTTTGTGGCTTAGCATATGTGCTGATTCCTTAATTTTCCGTATTTTTCAGTGATATTTTTTTGTCTATTAGTTCAACGTTGTCATACAGTGGCGGTGATGTCACTTATCCCTCCGTGCAATGTCGAGAATATGGCAATAAATGTGAGGACAATAGTCCGAAGAATGTAAATAATGTAGATAGTTACAATAATTCATCTCAGAAATATAGACAGATGTTTACATCTTGTTTAAAAGACGCCCTCATCAACAAAGTCAAACTAGGTGAACAAGGGTATAAACATAGATGGTGATCTCCTCTGCCACCTAAACCACGCAAATGACAAAATCGTAATCACCCATACACCACATGAACTAGTGGTGTTTGTACAATGCTATCCATAATGTTAGCAAAGCAGTGGGCTTTAACATACTGTGTAACCCAGATATAAGAGAGCCGGATATAAGAGAAACCCGGATATAAGAGAGATTTTCTCTGGTCTCAAATTAGAGCCTGTGTTAATGTATACATATAGACCAAACTCGGATATAAGAGAAACCCGGATATAAGAGACTTCTTCTCCGGTCCCGAAAACTCTTTTATATCCGGGTTACACCGTATATCTTGGAACAACGAAGGTCATTTATAACCATAACACTAAACGATCAGAAGTTGTTCCGAATTCAACAAGTGAAACCAATGGATAGTTGTTTAAGTTTTTTTGGTTATGAATTATTGAAGTGAAACGATGGGCGCTCAGCACTACAAATGCAGACACTTTTAGTGGCCCAAAGTAAAAAGTATCGAATCATGTTCATTATCAACTTACATGAAAGGGAGAACAATATCTGAACTCAAAAGAAAAAAAAATGTAGTGAAGGATTTAATCGAGACCAAATATTAGGGAACTAGATTCGTGTGTGAGAGTCGTGTGTCCTTCACTTCGCGCTAATGCACCTAGGAAAATATTGAATCCATTTTCATCCAGTTATTGATTAAATAGCAGATTAGGAGAAAGAAACCCCTGAATTAAAACCTGAAGTGATCAGTTACTAGACGTCCTGGCAGACTATGCGCAATTTCGCTTTTATCAGTTCTTCCAAAAAGTACGGCTCGTACTACATAAACATTCATCATTATAATCAAATTATATTCGTTGGTAAAGTAAAGTGGGCCGTTAAGATCTTCGTTTTCCTTATCTGGCTCCAGCTGGCTAAGTACGGAAACCTACGTTTTTTGCATACCGCTGGTATGAGTGTCCCGTTGCGCCATCTATCGTAAAATCACAAAGGACAATGCTTCAAAAGATATCATGTGTATACCCATTACTGATCTGGTAAGTCATTCCCAGGTATATCCATGAAAATGGAATTCTGTAAAACACACTGGTGCCAGTTTTCTGTGTAATGAAATATGTAGGTTGAAATTTGGCATTTTCTTTAAAAATGGCTGGACGGATGAGGGCAGCACTGGGCAAACGAGTAGCAGTGAAAGTGTTAAGCCCTCATACATCAAAATCAGTGGGAGAATCCATGCATGCCGTTACTATTAGTAGTAGTAGACAAAAAATAAAATCATGAGAGAGGAACAGTATTGTTTACGCTATTCACTACTGTTGTTCTAGCTATTACGTATTATAAGCCTCGACACCTTATGTACCGGGGAAACATGTACGTGGAAGGAATAAGGTTACTGGGAGATCTGCATGTTGCGAGGGATAAATTGTCGTCTAAATTACGCAAAAAAAAAAAAAAAAAAAATAGCACTGACATCTCATTAGATGTGCTGGCCCCGACACTAACATCTCATTAGATAAGCTGGACCCAATCCTGGTTACAGACAACAAAGTGGGCACTAAGAGAGTAGAAACGAAATAGAAGGTGGTCAAAATTATTACCTCGCTTCCATGTGGCCAAGTATCGCCAGAGATAGGAAGTGATGGAGGTTAAACCCCCGAAGAGATTCTGCAACAGGATTGAGAAAGGTTCTGGAGTTAGATTGTATTAAGTGAAGAGGGAAAAGCAGCATCTCTCATCGTCCCCGGGCAGAACAAAACTATTTCATATCGTTTCATATTTGCACATTCAAGGTGTATGAAGACAAATTTGTAAATATTCTGAAGAATATAAAAAGCAAAATAATACGAAGTTTGGACAATCAGACAAGGAAAGCCATCTCAAGCGGTAGGCCAGAATTAATTCTAGTGGACAAAGAACAGAAACTGTGCCAAATATTATAATCGATATTTCCTGCAAATGACAGCTCAAGAAGAAAAGATGAAAAAATACAAGGATTGTGCACATAAAATGAAATATAAGTGTTAAGGAAATACCCTTATGTCATACTTAGAACGGACCTTAATAGCCAATGATCTTGGGAAAATACGAGAATTATCGATGTAAGTAAAGATCGATTGGCACAAAGAATGTTAATGATTAAAACTGCGAAAATACTGATCTAAAAAAAACTTCATACCAGTTCATTCCACCTTTCGACTTTATTAATATAAAGTATTAATTTTTATACTACTCTTCACTCAAGAGCCAGTCAAGGTAGAATTCTTCTGAATAAGAGCATACAAAGAAGGAGTAGCAAGTGTATATTATGAGAATGTTGTAGAGATAACGATTGAACTTACATCTGAAGAGTTTATGACGGTAGTATTCGGTAAACATCTACTCGGGAAACTGTTCCAAAAGTACCAAAGGAAAACGAAAGGAATGAGAATAAACCGGGAACTTTCATATGGCATGGCGGGCATTATATTTCACAGTCTGAACTGGTGGAACGAAGGAATGAAGCTCCATTGAATATTTGTAATGGAAATAGCGAGGTTAACAATGTCTTATTTGTGGGAAAGGGGTTGCGAAGTGGAACGTATTTTATCCCCTCAAGGCCGAGTAGTTGCTTTTGAACTCATGAAGTGCGACTGGGCAGCACAAACCCAGTTATGTCAATGAATATTCCACTTTTGTTTAAATAATCATATAAAACAATAATATAACAACGAATAAACAGAACAAGAAAAATGAACGTCACCAACATTACCACACCTTAGACATTACCACACCTTAGACATTACCACGACATAGATATTACCACACCATAGATATTATCAAACAATCACTTTAATATTAAATAGGTTCGTGCTACAGCAGTCCTGGTTTAAATTGCTTCTGATCTCAACATCTACATTTTATATTAGTGAATTAAGATGGGCTACAGTAAATTTCCTTGGTTATCAGTTGCTTGACCATTACAAGGTTTTCCTTGGGAGCTGTCAAATTTTGCATCTCTGTTAGAGAACGGAATTAGTTGGGGATATTTATGGCTGAGAATCAAAAGGATTTTTATTGTTCAAGTTTTAAGGATAAGGTATCTAAGGTAATTGAGAGACACATGAAGACTCGGAGGAACACCCTCAATCGGAAATTGTCTGAGGTTACTGCATTACGCAACTTGAAGTTATTTCTAACACTTACAAGGGTATGCGCTGCATTTGTCAGAACCTTTCAATATATCGCGTACACTTGACTGTGATGCATACGTCACGTAAATAAATATCAGACTAGGTGTCATGATGGGGTTCATCGTATATTTATACTCCAGTGTCACATTGATGGAGTGCGATTCTCTTGATCAATTATAGTAAATGGTTGTTTGAATCTGCGACATGTCGGTCCTTGTTGGTTCATTTAATGTTGAATTGTGTATGGCCACCCTGTCAGGTGCGAATTAAGTACTCTTTTTCATCCTCCACCTCCTCATGATAATCATCATCATCATCATCAGCAGCAAGACATTCAGTAAAAGAAGAGTTAGAAGAAGAAGAAGAAAATAATTGATTGATTCTAAGGCCTTACAGGTTATTTAAATTTAGAAAATAATTTTAGATTGTAATAATTTATTTTTGGAGGTAATAATAGTTTAGTGATACAAGTCTTACTAATTAACCCATAGCTGTAGGGAGAAAAGGTGGATTCATAACTTTCCCAAGTGAATATTATGAACAAAACGGGAACTGAAACTCAGTTCTCAGAGTCATTATTCATTGCAACTATCTTGTACCCATCTAGGCATTGACCATGCTCGGGGTTGTTTAACTTCAGTGATTGTACAGGAACCAGTGTTTGAACATGATGCGGCCTTAACCCAGGACATACACCGTGATATAAGAATGGTCAGAATTATTTTTGTGATATATCGATTGAATCCTTAACACACAGCGTTGATTTATTTAAGGCATTTTTATGCCTTAAATAAATCAACTGTTAAATTATCTGTTACTTAAATTATTATTAAATTATCTGTTATTTAAATTATTATTTCTTAAAGTTATCTGCGTAAAGCAGTAAAGGATTAAAAGTAACAAGCCCAAAATCTTAGAATGAAGATAAATGAACTTATTCCGAGAAAAGTTGAAAGAATGAAAATTAAGTAAAGAAAATCAGAAGGTAAATAATAACAGAAAATATCGTAAAATAAAAAAAAAAAAAAAAAAAACGAAAAGTAATTGCGGACAGCTTAATGGATTGAATAGTTAATTTCTTAGTAAATACCAAATGCCGGTGTTCAAATATGGAATTTTAAAACAACTAAATAAAAAAGAAAGTTAAAAATAAACAAAACAAAAACATAACAAAAAAATTATAATGTTGATTTTCTAAAGAAGCATGAGGTCGCAGATAATATTCGTAAAAGTGTAGAAGAAAGCGAAACTAATGTTAATATTTGAAAGATTCTAAAACAATGGAACGAAGAAAAAAGAAAAGAGAAATTCTATCTTATCATTTTTTAAACTAAAATATATGTTAAATAATGATATTATTTAAGAAACAAAACAGGTTGGAAAGGGAAGAACATTTGATAGAGTTTAAAGGAACTTCATGCTATCAGATGTCGAATAGAGTTCGTGTAAGTGAGTGACTTTGCTTTCCAAGGAATCAGGTTCGTTGGCTTGAGGCTTGCCGAAAGACTGGAACAGCGATGAAGAGAGATAAAACAACACGGGCCTTTGCTGATCTGCAGCTGCAAGATGAGGCGGCGGGTGAGTATGGCATTGAGGCCGGGTTGAGGCTCTATACTTTAGAGCACATCAAATGGAAAGAGGCAAACTCTTTGCAGTGTAGCAAGGAGGAAAGCAACTTTAGTGGGAGGATTTTAAGATGCGTACGAACGAAACAGTCATAAATTAAAAAAAGAAATATAAATAAAATGAAGAACATGATGAGTACGAATCCACTTTACAAAATATTAGCGCATCTTGTAACCTCGTTATGTTCTCTATATTTCTGGGATGAGGTATTATGTACACTATTTACATTGCTCGAACTATCATCCTCATCTTTGTTGCCATATTTAACACAATGTTTTGGTCGTTGTAGGTACCGGCCTTCTTCAGGTGGTTGGAATGCCGAACAGAACCCTTTTAAAACTGATAACCGACATCCATAAATCTTGGCACGTGGAACTAGAACAGTCTACGCCAACGAACGAAATAAATCGTTTAGTTCGATATTCCAACCACTTGAAGAAGGCCGCGGCGCACAACGGACGAAACCTCGTTATGCTTTTGTTGAAATACCCCACAACTTGCAGCTACAACAGAAATCCGTGCAATTTACACTATTTATATTCGGACTATTGTCCTCGTCTTTGTTGTTGTTATCACAACATTTCGATCGTTGCGCCCTCCACCCTTCTAGATAACATTCTGAACTGAACCCTTTATTTAATCTACGGGGTTAGTCTGTTCTCGTTCTACTGCTAGAATATCGCCTAGTTTTTATTTAGTATATCTTATCAGTAATTCTCATTTAGTATTGTTTAGTTATTACTCGCCCATTTTCCAGTGAGTTTAAGTGCTCACTGTGAGTACCAGGGACAGAACTATAACAACTATGTCAAGATATTCACAACCCGACGTTTTTTTGTCGACTAGACCAACTGCTGCAGTAAATTTAGTTAGCTTGAAACTTAACCAAGCTGCTGATTATGTTGCAACTGCTGTCATATTTTGATTGCTGCTACTTCTGCTGTCTATGTTTTCCAAGATCAATATACACCTGAGGAAGGTTGGAGAGCACAACAGCCGAAACGTTGTGATAACAAATAACAAAATGAGGAAAATTATCATAATATAAATAATGTAAATAATAATGACTCCTCAATCCAAAAATACAGACAGAAACGACTGTATCTGGAGAAAGACATTTCTCGCTCCCTTAGCTAGTTTGAAAGTAAGAAACGCTATTTCCGTGAGAGCCAGTTTAAACTAAGTCTAGAATTTGGTCGTCAGAATGTCTTCCTTAATAGTTTCAAGGTAGGAATCTTGACGTTGGAAATAATATTAGAAAAGCTATTGATCTGGGGAAACATCCACACAGAAGTCTGTTTCACAAAATGGCTGTTCTGGAGATGAGGCTGTCTGAATAGAACTTCTTCCAAACCAATAAAAATAAAAAGGATGAAGATAAGTCGAATATTTTCATGGGATGGCAGCTTCTAGTTGTAAAGGTCGGAATTGGTGGAACTGTATCTTGTTTGCATATCTGACATGGAATTAGCGGTAGTGTAGCAAGAAAAAAAGTAAAATTTCGTATATGGTGAAAGGCTGCAGGGTGAAAATAATTCATCACCCTCGAGTCCATATAATTTATTCTGAACGCTATCAGTTTTGGACAATGGCTGCAGCAGCAGATATATAGCAACAACGGATAACCTTGAAATAAATGCGAAGTATATGAGAATCATCCGGAAACTCTACTGGAAGAAACAGCCTGCATACGAATAGAAAATATTCAGTAAATAGAAAGGAATGTAAGACACAGATTTCTCTTCTCCTTAGACTTATTCAACCTGTATAGTGAGACGATTCTCAGAGAATAAGAAGTCGTTGACCACAATTAACCAAATAAGATGTGCAAACAATCAAGTGTTGATAGAAGGCACAGTAAACTAGAAGAAATTCTACAGAAAATAGAGAAGGAAATTGGGAAGAAGGAAGACAGAATGCATGGTTGTTAGTAAAAGGAACAGCCCAACATGCAAATTACAAACTGGAGAAATGAAAACCAAACAAAAAAAAATGGAAGGAAAGTAGCTACTTTGAAATCCGAAGGCTCATTGGGATAGTAGTTTATGTTTTTGTTATGGACGCCCGATAGCAAAATGGTTTATATATATATATATATATATATATATATATATATATATATATATATATATAACCTCCGCGTAGAATTCGTTTCTTCAATATCTTCGTCACCACTGTTATGGTTGGTGTCCAAAAAGGTTTTTATTTTTTATCTTCGCGTAGAACGTGTTTTTTTCTCTCAATATTTCCGTCGCCTCTGTTATGGACGACCGATAGCAAAAAGTTTTTTTGTTTTGTTTTTTTTATATATATATATATATATATATATATATATATATATATATATATATATATCCTCTGCATAGAATTCGTTTCTTCAATATCCTCGTCGCCACTGTTATGGTGCAGGTTAGTAAGAGCAACACGAACACAAGAGTAGAAATAACGAAGGTACATTACACGAAATAATAATACAAGATGTGGAAGGTGTTAGTATGACTGTCAGTCTGGTTTGGAGTGAACTACTATCGGCTCGACTCGATTCGACCCTCTCTCTTGAGAGGCGTAGTATACATAGTGTTAGGGAGAGTTCATTCTGTAGTTATAGGTAAGTTTTCTAATTTTACCAAGTTTTCCCATGACAGTTTTCCAAAAACTAATCAAAGAAATTAAGAATCTAAGCAAAGCTATTCAGAAAAAGAACAATTTCGTTAGTGATGTAATGGAATAACCAGTCACATCCATGAATGCTTAAACTATATGTAGTAAATACCTATAAAGTCAACCGTGTACGAGAGACTCGGAGAGGGAGTGAAGAGCGAGACGACGCAAGCACGTCTGACCTTCCAATTAGTGGCACTCACTACTAGATTGACCTGTGTGTATAACTGTACCGTATTTCATATTGTACTTGTTATGTACAATAAACCTTTCTTCTAGTATTCACCTAGTGTTATGTATTTATTCCCTTAGCACGGAATATAACAGTTAGGAACCATGAAAAGTGTATTGAATTATTGTGTAATAGCAACCATCCTAAATGTCAGAGAATCGAGGATAATCTCCTTATAGATGAATAGACATGAAGCCACAAAATTGTGGTTCCACAGAAGAATGCTGAGAATACCAAAGACTGAACATTTGTGTAACGACAAAAGCGTTAATGTGGAGTGCAAACAAAGCGGCACTTATAATTAATAACATAAAGACAGTTGAAATTTTTAGAACACATAATGATGAACGAAGCTAGGAAATTTGATACTCACAAGACAGATTGAAAGCAAAAGGGACAGTGGAAAACAACGCATCAATTACCAAGCAATCTTCGGTAAATGGATGGCGGAAAAAGTTTTAGAAGTATTAACAAAAAAAAAAAAAAATTAAGAGGACAGAAAATCGTGTAGGACCATAGTCGCCAATGTTCCGAGCGGGCACGTTACATAAAAGAAAATATATAAATTTATATGATAAAGTATAAAAACAACAAAAAATATGAAAAATCACCACCACACATCAATATGAAAAGATAACCAACACACTTTAATACGTCTTGTGGTTGTCAAATTCTCTAAGCCTTCTTTCCTTATTATATGCCTTATTTATTGCAATGCGAATTTAATAAATTGAAACATCTCGATAGAAAATTTATATTGTCTAAATATGGCAGTTCAACGTCAATCCTAATTTACTTTTGTTTGTTATATTTTCAAATTTTATTGCCTAATGTAAACAGTCATATCAAAGACATCACATAAGAAAGATAGGTAGTAATTAACATATTAGATACGTCCACAGAAAATATTCGTGTTCAAACAAAACAAAAAAAGGATTTTTTCTGAAAACATCATTCTTCTTCTATTTACCGTGTCACTTCAAGACATGGACGACCATGGGTATCCACAACTTCCTATCATTTATAGAACTTAGTAAATTTTGATTCCTGTTCTGCCAACCATTTAAACAAAATCGTTAGGTAGGTTCTGCGCTGCTTTTTCCTCGTCAGTCTTGCCTTCACTATATCTCGTGAGTGTCAAATTCTCTAAGCCGTCATTCCTCAATATATCCCCTGGAAATCTTATTTTTCTGATTCTATACTTAAGTTTCCTTTTTAAGTTAAAACATTGTCGTTGCTCAGTTAATCATTCCATGATTTTCTCAGCATCCTTCTGTAGAACCACATACTTTTTTTCTCAACTGTCTTTTTTCAGCCATGAAGAGATTGTACAGTATATAGGAAGGTCAGTACAAATTAACAGTCCAGTACTATTTTCTTTTATTCGAAAATGTTCATGTTTCTTATTATAAGTCAGTTATATGCCATGCGTGATGCACGCTTAGGCGATCATGTATCTTTCAATACCTGACTGACGAGGCAGATTTTTTCCCCGCAATAGGTTGCCGTACCTTTCTGCGGTAGACCAGTTACCATCCAAGACTGCAGAACCTGGTCTATACGGCTACTTACTCATAGCTGTGGCGGGTGAGAAGAAGAGGATTCATACCTTTCCCAAGGGTACTATTAGTACGTAAGTGAATATAATGGATGTGACTGGAATTCGAATACGGCTCACCGATTCCTCAATCCGATCTGCTATCGATTACTCAACCATGCCTTTTTTTAAGTAGCTTTCGTAAGGCAGCTTCCCCTGGGATATGTAATGTGATTTCAGTTCTTATTTTTCTTATTGCACATCATTTATTTCGACAGGAATTCGACATGAAAAGCTGTGATAAATATATGAATAATATGAAATAAAGACGAGTCAGATATTAATAATGAAAGTACGAATTTATTTACCTTTTTTGAGAGGTTTACTGCTACAGGGTGTATTCGCAAAAGGCATGTCGATGGGAATGCTATCGCGCGAAAAATCACTTTTGAAAATCTTCTAACAAAATTAGAGCAGAAATGGCACGGACGCCCATAAAAAGTAACTAAACAAAAAAAAAAA